CTGATGGGAACTTTATTTTTAAGTGTTGCATTCGACATTTTTTCCCTTAAATGAGCTGATTTATTAATAATGAGCTCATTTGTATGAAAGCACTTTGTATGGTAAATCATCCTCATTAGTGGCTATTATGAACAAAATCGCCTAAATGAGACAGTGTAAATGTGCTATTATATTCATTTCCGTACTCATAATCGAATTCATTATTTTTCTTATGGAAGAAGGGGTCAACTAATTTCTTACAGAAATAAGTAATTAAGGTATTAATTGAGTCGTTAATGGATGTGTGCATGTATAATAACTAATAGGATTCAACTATGACCTTCAATAAACTTCATATATTTTAATAAAAAGTCCAATTAGTAATAATATAGCGACATTTATTATATTGTAAATTTTTAATTTGCACCTATTTTAAATATAAATCGGTTAAAAAACTACAAATAATAAATTTTATTTAGTATTCAAATTTCTGATATTTAAGGAAGGAGGAAAAACCACATTTCCAGAACTAAATAAAATATTCCCTTGATTATCTATTAATAAATTTCCATTTCCACTGTTCATATCTAATATTAGCTAAACAAAATAAACCTGAAGAATATAATCCATGTCCAATTATAAATCTATATCTGTCGCAAACTACTTTTTTTGTGCAGTAGGTGGAAAGCATCAAAAGCCAATGTGAGACTCGAACCCACTAAAACCACCTATTAGGACTGAATGAAGAAATTTCCACAGCTTTGTGGAAACTTCATTCCAGTAATCAAGGCAGAGAGGTGAGAGCAGATGGGGTAAATAGCTAGTAGGTTAGGTTCATCTAAGCCAGAAAGCATGAGCGTGAAGTAGAGAGATTAAATGTACCATCACAAACTCTTCAATCACTTAAATTTATAATACCTACTAAAATCCTTATCCTAAGATTAACGTCAGAGTTGGAATAAATTTACCTTCAAAAAATAAATATGAAGCAAAAATATTCATTCTGGAAAAAGTTAAATTCGAAAAAATTAATATAAAAATTACTTTAATAATAAATAAATTATAATAATTTTGAAATTTGTTAATTTTTTCTCTTCCAATAATATAAGTGCTTAAAGAATTATAAAAAAATTATATAACATTCTAAAAACTTAGAAATGGATACCATATAAAATATTTTCTATAAATATTAAATAAAATTAAAAAATAAAACTAAATAAAATAAATATATTTTTAACTATTCAAAATATATTATTAAAAATACAAAAAGAATCCCAAAAGCCTAAAGAAAAATAAATTTTAATATTATAAAATTTAAATTAATTAAAAATAATCATTTCCATAAGTTCGAATTATTTAAACTTAAATAAAAAACTAAAGTCTCTTCACAAACTTTCAAAGTTAAATATATACTTATAAAATAATTTCTACAATCTATTTTATTTATTATATATAAAAAAATAAATTATTAAAACATTTAATTCTAAACTTAATAATATAGATAATAAATGTTTTCGCACAGCATATAAAAAAAAATACTCCAATTAATAGTATTATACAATAAATTAATAAATAACAAATTCATTAATTAATTAAAAATAAATTATCATTTTTTAAGTTTCATTAGTTTAACAAAAATTCTTATGTGCCGTAAGTACTTAAATCAAAGCCAAATGCACAATCAAATACACAGGTATAGTTACTCATTAGCTATAATGAGCAAAACTGTCCAAAGGTTCAGTTAGTTAGTACGTAGCGTAAGGACTTAAACGAACTTTAGCTAAAGCGAAATGCACAACCATCCACACCTGTGTATTTTACTTTGATTTATGTTCTTACTGTTCCTACCGACTAACTGAGCCTTAAATGAGACACTGTGAATATGATATTATATTCAATTCCGCACTCATAATCGAATACATCATTTTCCTTATGGTAGAAGTGATCAACTAATTCCTTAAAGGAAAAACTAATTAAACTTTAAATTGAGTCATTGCGTGTACGTGTGTATGTGTAATAATTCAAAGGATTGTTGCGCAGAATAATTGTGTTTTCCTTTTTTCCGCCTTGTTGTTTATTCTTATTCTTTGTGATGACCATTTTTGACCCCTTACTACTCTTTACGTATAGCTGACTGCAGCACAAGACATTGGCGACATATTGCATATTGCCTTGGTACGTTTTCACTTTGCGAGGGGAAAACTACACGATTTGCAACAATTCTGCTTCGTTTTTATTATGGCAGCCATTTTTTTTGGAATAAAAATCCAATTAGCATTTATTCGAAGTAAATGCTTGAGTGTGTGCGTAAAATGCATTTTTTCGTATTAAAATTATTAAAACTTTCACGTTAAATAGTTAAATTATTGTGGGAATCATTCAAAAGCAGCATTCAATCATAATGAAATTCCTCTTTTTGAACAAATAGGACAAATCAACAATAACAAATAATTTTAATATTTTATTTTTTATATACATATCTACATACATTAAGTACAAATGAATATTTTTTAACAGACCACGCTCATCCCTTTCAGGTAAAGAATTAACTTGAGCAGCTCAAGCTAAAGAAAAAGCTGTACATTCTATACATAACAAATTGCGTTGTTTGTTAAAATAATTTATTTGTATTTATTTGCAAAATAGAATTATGTACATGTGTATGTATGTATGTATGTTAAATAAATATTATTTGTGAGACTATTTTGTGTGTATGTATGTAGTGCCTCTTTTGCATGCCCGAGAAAATTTATATAAAAAAAAATAAGTAAGTACCAGTTGCATCCCAGCATCAATTGTTTTGATGCGCAGAATTTTGTTTTAAATTAAATGTTGATTAAAACTACATCGGCAAAACATAAATATAAAAGTATAAGTATAATATAATATAAGCATAAATTTTTATACTTGAAATTAAAGTCTAACTTCGGGAGCAATTGTTTTGAAAAATATTATTATATTGTCATTCCATATGGTGCGCATTTCTAACATTAAGCCCAGATCACACACAATACATACACATAAACGACTTTTGTTGTTTTTTTTGCTCCAACTAGAAAACTGGAATTATAATTTCTCCTACCAGTTGCACTAGAAAGCTAAATAGAAAGAAAAAAAAAATTTTGCTGCGACTTTGCTGAATATATGCATATGCATAGGCAAATGATATGCATTTGTGTTTGTATGTACATATATATTTGGTTGGTATTGCAAGGAAGTGCTACCAAAGACAACGCATTTTATGAGCACAAATCAAATCCAAAAAACAACAACAATATTAATAACAAAAACAAGAGCATGAAAAATTCCACGAAATCGAAAGGCTTCCTGTGAATTTTCGCAATAGATTTAGGGGAATAGCATAGCATTGTGCATATAACTTAATAATGACGCAGAAATATGAGTGAACAACAACACTAATGCATAAAACTGAATACAGAGCACGTATGGCAAGCAATTCTAACTTCAGAATCAGCTACTACCTTGACCATGGGCTTAAACAAAAACAAAACTTTTTCGCCGCTAAAGTAAAAAATAAAACTCTACTACAAACGTACTTCAACAAAACGAAAAGAATGAAACACGCATTGAAATTCAATACACACAAACATAAATAACACACATAAATAAAAATGAAATGTGCAAAAGTATGCACACACACAAATTTTATACAAGTATTGGTTGAAAAACGCATCGCCTTTGCATACGAATCTAAAAACTAAACAAAAAAGAAACCAAACCAAAATTTTACCTCATTCTCGCATACAAGCAGAGAGAGCTACCAAATGCGTGCTCAATGAAAAAGAAATATGTGTGTGTGTGTGCATAAAACTGAAGGGAGCAAAAATTACTAACTAACACACACACAACTATGTCGATGTGATGGCTATGTGTGTGTACACTTCACAGCGAAGAATTTCTACGGCTGAACGTGTGTTACTTGTTTAGCTCAGTTTTCTCTCAGATGTCAGTTCGAAAGGAGCTGTTGTATTGTGTAGTTTTGTGTAGTGAAATTCAAATAAGAAATTTTGTTAGAAATGCATATGGAAATTAAGAGCAACAAATATAAAAATGTTTAATTCAGCATTTGTAATCAACAAGTGTTACATATCGAAACCAGTTACCAGTTTCACTCAAATACACTGAATTCATTTAAACATAAAGACATAAACATATGCAAAGCAAAGTAAAATAAAAATTAAGTTGAGCGCACAACATTAAACACACTGTCAGTGGGCAAGTATAACAAGTTACATTGGCATCACTAGGTGGCATTGTTTATCATTTAGCCAGAGTGAGTATTGTCGGCATAAATAAAAACAATGCTCACATATGTATAGAAAACAAATGTTATTAAAAAATATATACGAGTTTATATGAAAATATTACTCACGGAATTAATTTAATGTGTTTAGCAAATATTTTAAATATTATCGTATCGTCGTTGTACAGTGCAGCTTCACTCAAAGCATTTTTGCTTCAAAGCAACTGCAAGTAAAAACGATTTTACAAAAATTTAGTTAAGCAAACGCATGAGTTTAGCAACGAAAAAAAAAGAAATAACAACAGCCACAACAACAAATAAAACAAAAAAAAACGAAGTGCTCTGAACATAAACACAACAACAAAGCGGCACTGCAAGCCAGCAAACGCAGAAGCGAGCGACACAAACAACATAACAATTGCTAACATTTATATACATAAAATTTAGAACAACAACAAAGCAGCTACTAAACAGTAGCAAAATTAAAAAATCCAAAAAACAAAAAAAATTCAAAGAATTTTTCCAAATATAACTAAAAACAAAAAATAAGTTTTACATAAAAGAGGGACAGAAGAAGAATAGCAAAGAAAGCTGTGTGTGTAACCAAAAAGCAAAAAGAGTTTTGATAAAAATTTACATGCAAAACTTTAACACATATTGAGTGTTAAAATTGAGAATAAATAAAATCCATAAAATCTAAAAAAGTTTGTTGAAATTAATAAATAACATTAAAAGTGTACATTTTTAAAATATTTTAAAATAATCATAATAAGTGAATGGGTGCATTATATACACAAATAAATTAAAGCATAACAATGGAAAAAAGCATTGAATTTTTATGCCGGCTTTGCGCTGTTAACACTAACATAACTGCTCTAAATGAATCTGTTAACATCTTTAAAACGCCACTGTTAAAGGAAAGGATAGAAAAGTTCTTCTACGTCACGGTGAGTATACAGAATATTCGACACACTTGTTGTTATTGCTGTTAATGCACATGCCTATGACTGATAAGTGCATTCATTGTATGTGCTTATGTGGGAGGCAAATACTTTATTTTTTTTTTATGGTTTTCTTAATAAAATCAATGAATAAAATAAATAAATAAATTATTATAAAATTATAATTGATATAAATTTACTGATTAAAATCAATTTCTGTACTCTATACTCTTCTCATGCATACACAGTTATGCAACAAATATCGGGTCCTGTTTTCTTTATATACTATACAACTATATTGCATTTTACTAGACATATATAGTTAGTTGTCTATGTCGATTCATTATACTGTAACAATATATCTATCCAGATCAGTGCTTCCCAGCCGGTGGTTCGCGAATCTTATTTAACAGTTTGTCCACTGAGACCTCAGTTATTTAAAAATAAACACAAAAAAGTCCAAGTAGTTATATACCTATTTTGTAGCCTATATGATATAACTTTATATCATATATACTTATACAATACATTATACCAGAGATGCAAAAAAAGCGGGTATTACACATCAGACTTGGTCGTACAACTTGTGTGTTTGATAGCGAAATTTGTGCCAAATCGCATGATGACTAGTCGAATGCAAATCAAAATATATTGATTTCTCGTCCGACTTGGAGCCATGTTATGTAGAGAGTCTCGGGCCCGACATGAGTAAAATCGTTGTTGTTCTCCACACCAATTATGGTATAAAAAAGAGATTGAGAGAAAAAACAATATGTCGGTTCAAATTCCGGGATGAGAGGCAAACGGTGTATTTGTGACTCGGCACTAAGGCAAAGCAGTGTTGTTTAGTAATAAATTACTTCAACATAGCCTAATTTATAAACCGTTAATAATCTAATTATCACACTTTCCGATTTTAACATTATTACAGCCTCTATGAGTTCTTTCTTTTAAATTTAGACACAACCAAAAACTATCAAGAAGTAGTAAAAATCCGAATTTGGCAATACTGATGTGAGAGTCTACATAGCATGTATTTCCGTCATAGCCTGAAACAGCCAATTTTGTTGTGCTCGAGATACTCCACATAGCATGGCCCAGCCCTTGCTCGTGTTTTTTCATATACAATCTAATTTTAGTCGACTTATAAGCAGATTTCGTTCTATTTTAAGGGATGGAAGCGAAAATACCGTTTAAGTGCATGCATGACTTTATTTTCTAGTATATTTGTTGTTGTTTTTTGTTGAGGTGTGTTCAAAATAATGTCGACTGTGTCGGATGTGTAATAGCAAGCAACATTGCAGAAGTTGTATGACCAAGTCTGATGTGTAATACCCGCTTAAATCATATTAAAACTATCATACAGTGTATTATTCTTAAACTTTGTGATCCCTACTAAAAACAAAAATATTATATTGATCCTTGATTGAAAACAGGTTGGGAACCACTGATCTAGATATACTACACTTATGATGGTTTTCATAGCACTAACTTAGGCCTCAATACTGACTTAAGTTGTACTTATGTCATCAACATGAGTGCCTAAAGTCATACTTCAAGTACTTAAATTTAAGTAATGGCATAATAATAAAAGTAACTTTTTCGCAGACAACAACAAAAAGGATCTAAACGAGAGACGGGACCAAACTAACTTTATGTCTTATAGTTTTTCCTTTGTGTCTTTTTGTTGAAAAACAACAATAAGGATATACAGAACGGTCTTAATCTAGTTGTAATCTTACTATAGCTTCATGTTTCGTAAAGCCGTTATTGTTTTTTTTTTAATAATAAAAATTAGGATCCACAGTCCTCCTGTGGATCTCCTTGGACCTAACTTATATTTTCCTATAGCTTCATGTTCCCACTATTTTTTAAAAAACATATTTTGTTTCTGTAGTTTTACTTTGAAGTTTTAAATTTGAGGTGTGTAGGCCAGGTTATTATTGATGTTAGTTGTCATGATAAGGTTTTAACAATTACTATCGCAATTTCATTTTGTCATATGTCTGTTATTGGCAATAAGAGGAACTGAAGGTTGGTTATATCCTAGAGACTCTAGGTTAGTTGATTATAAATTCTATTACTGCACTATTTAATGTGGGCCTATGCTCCTCCTAGGAATTAAGGCATTCAATATATATTATTTAAAAATATTGTAAAATTTATTAAATATATATAATTTTATAGATTTATATCAATAATAAAAATGCACGAAAAAAATAATTTAAGACTAGTATATATATTTTATGAACGATATATTGTATTTGAGTAATTAGTATAGTTAGGTATATATGTCGAAATCATGCGCAGAAACTCAACAAGTGTTTATTAGGTAACTACACCACTTTAGAAAGATAAAAAATATATATGGAGAAACTTTTATCCCAACAGTAAATATTGGATGCATTTTCATTTGAATTTCAAATTTGTAGAAGAAATTTAATTTCAATATTAAGAAATAATCGAACACATATAAGAAGTCTATCAAGAGAAATAGAGATAATTTTTGTGGTACAATTGAATCTGTTCTGAAAAGTTCAGAGCAAATAACAAAGAAAACCTAAGAATATATAGTATATGTATGGCCCATATTACTATGGCCAGGATTAAAATATTTTGACACAATGTAGTATTTTAGAAATTGGAAGAATTTGTCAAAGATGAAACTGATGAGATGATAATGTATGTCATACAACTTACATTCTACATACTTACAAACTCAATTAAGACCATTCAATTCCCTTATTATTATACTCGTACTTCCTTTTCTAAGACTTGAATTTTATTATCTTTTACAATATGATTTTAAAAGTTTTTTATACTGTCATATTCTTCTCATGCTATTATTATTATTTAAATAAAATTCAATAGATATATTTTAGTATTCAAATAGGCTTTGAGTTCAGAAATGTATCTCTAATTTAAAAAAACAAAACATCAAACATTTTATCTAATGTTGTGATATACATGTTGCTATGGCTTTGATAGCATGTTTGCAGATAAATTGTACCTGTGAATTTTTCAACAGTTCTCCCTTACACCTTCCTGATGTTTCTATTTTATAACCAAAACTAACGTCAGGTAATATCGAAAGGAGTTTCAATGATATCCAAAGTAGAGAAACATCGTTACTACAAATGCACAACTACCTGTAATAATTTAATTCTACACACTACCAACACATTTTACGTATTAATGGATGCATTTAGCTGAAATTAAGATTCTATACCATTTATAGAGTGCTATTTTAAAAGATATTCTCTTTTATATGACAAATTATTTTACAAATTTTTCAAATATATATCCATTACTTAGTATTCGATCCAGTATTTAGCAAAATATGTTTACAGAGCACTTCATCATGAGACTATGAGTTTCACTTTGGTTTTAGTTATTTAATAATAACTGTTAATAAGTCAAATTACCAGATTTGGAGTAAGAAACTCCCGAAGATAATATATAAGTTACTGATAAACCACAAAAACTCCTTTGTTTAAAGACTGATGGCATCGTATTTTATCAAGAATTATGAAAATCGAAAGGTCATTGTTAATTAAGTAACGATTTTTTTGGATGAGTCAGTAAACACGGTTTGGCAGATCTTTTGTTTCAATAAAACAGTACCACAATCAGAACCATTAAGTAATTAAGACAAATGTTCGACAACAACATTGTCTACAAAAATTGTCTAAATAATTTTGTAATAATCTTAGTATTTAGTTATTTATTGTAGGGAATGAAAAAAACATGATCTATAAACACTAATCTGCTACACCTGGAGAAATCCCTTTAATATAACCAAGTTGAAGTGTTTTTAATATAACTCTATGGAAGCGCTATATTATCTTCGATAACTAAATAATTTAAAGTCTGAAAATATCAGCTGGTGCCTGAGTTAAAGTAGAAGCCCCTAGCATTTCACATTAACTCAGTTCAGATATAGTCCAGTATTTTTCATTTGTTTCCTTATTGTAGACTGTGTGTAATAGTCTTAATATTTTTTTTATCGCTATAACGAAATTTCTAAATAAGCCCAAGAATTATAGTTTTTTATTAGTTCATTATATTCAGTTGTCCGATGAAAAATAAATTAAGACATCAAGATTAGAATTATATTCACTTTACAGACCTTTTTTTAAATAGTAAGTAAGTAACCCATCATTGTAAGTTTACACATAAACCTTCTATGACGAACCATCTGGTAATAGATCTAAACAAAAATACCAAGGCTATGAAGGTGACTTAAGTCAACTGACATTGGTGTTAACTAATCCGTAAACCAGTCAGTATTTGATATAATTCATAGCTAAATGGACTTCTAGAAATATCTATCAATGCTCTCGCGGTACCAACATCTCAAGACTTTCCTAATTAGGTTTGTTATCAACTAAAAATTATATTGTTTCGAACTTTGACTTTTATGAAGTGCAAGACTGGCTTTCAGCTCCAAGTTGATTTTAATTATATTGTTTAATTAATTATAACAATATTTATTCAGTTAATTATAATTACATAATTCAAGTTAATTATAACTATATTAATTAAATTAAATATTACCTAACAACATTTGCCTTTTGAGTTTTCATTAATTTTTTTTTTTGAACTCAAATTAAATATTGTTATGCAAAGGTGATATTTAGAAGCAAATATGGGTCTTGTGGTAAATAAGGAAAATCTGAATTACTTCATGTCAGCAAACCAAGTACTGAGCGTTTTGGGGAACCCCGTCACTCTTTACAACTATGATTTCGAAGTTGTGATAGATTTGATTTATTTTAGAACCACCGTAAACAGCAAAAATAAGCTCAGTCTAGGGATTCAACAAAGGCTCGCTCTTGCTATACTTATCCCGAAGATATTACTTTAGAGTAATAAGGCAATTGATAAATTATACCCTCTCTCGACAAACAAGAAATCATGCTCTACAAGTCTCTTACCATAACTGCCCTGCTTTATGGCGCAAGAACTTAGACAACAGCCAACAGTGATGAGAAGGCCTTAGGAGG